CTTCCTTCCTTCCTTCTTTCTCTTTTTCTTTTTTCTTCTTTTTTTTCCCTGTGCTGGGTATTGAACTCAGGGCCTTGTGCATGTTGGGCGTGCACTATACCACCACTGTGCTATCCCACCAGCCCTTATTCCACTTTTTAAATAATCAGTTGCCTCTCTGTTAAGACATTTTTTTCAGAGACCATAATACAACACAAAAGAAAGATGCAGAACCTCTAGGAATTTTGAAACATTTAACCATTTAACTGCTGCACTAATAGTTATAGAAAGTATGTGGTAAAGTACTGGTATAGTTAGACTAGTAGTCTCCAACCATGGATAATTTTTGGTTGTCATGACTGAGAATAGCTGGGTGCTCCAACCTAAGCATTCAGGGGCTAGAAGACAGGGGTTCTGGAAAACATACTACAGTGCTCCAGGCAGCTTTCCACATCAAGGATTCTCCATACAGCCCCTAATCTCAATAGTGCCAAAGAGTTAGGAAATGTGGACCTAGGACATCCAAAGCCTCTTGATTCTACAACCCAACATATCTTTACACCAACCTTTTCCCTGTCATCCTCGCTTCACCAGCACATATACCAACCTTTTACCTTCTAAGTATTCACTTAGCATTAGCTTCATGTTGAGGAAAACAGTACAATCTTCTAGCTTTTCTTAGAAATTTATGTATCAAGTAGACAAAATTACACAGAAAATTAATAAAACCCATCCAAAATATATCAAGATGTGACCCCAACAAACAGAAAATATGTACTCAGTACAAAAACATTTGCAGTACTCACAAAAACTAATCAGATTTTATATTGAAAAACAAAAACAACTCAGTAAATTTTCAAAAAGTAAAATCTATATAGGCACCAGATGCAGTGGCAAATGCCTATAGTCCAAGCTACTCCAGAGGCTGAGGTAGGAGAATACTAAGTTTGAGGCCAGCCTAGGCAACCTAGTGAGACCCAGTCTCAAAATTTAAAAATACAATAAAAAGGGCTTGGAGTATATCTCGGAGAGCATTTGCCTAGCATGCATGTCACCATGGGTTCAGTCCCCAGTAGTATAAACTCATATAGGCTACATTTTTAAAATCAAAATTCAATATATTAGATATTTATAACAAAATTATATCTACTTTTTTTTTTTTTTTGGTGCTATTGGGAATTGAAACCAGGGCCTCATGCATGCTAGTCAAAGGCTTTACTACTTCTACTTAGCTACACCCCCAGTCCCTATAGCTCTCTTTTAAATAACTCATGTTAAAGGCAGGGTGACCATGTTGGGCATGGTGGTGCATGTCTATACTCCTAGAACTCTGGGAGGCTGAAATAGGAGGATCACAAGTTCAAATCTCACCTAGGCAACTTACTGAGGCCTTGTCTCAAAATTTAAAAAGGGCTGGGAATGTAGCTTAGAGCAAAAGCTCTGGCTTCAATCCAGAGTATCACAAAAGGGGGGATGCCATGCCTTCTAGTTCACCTAGGATAGCTCTAGTTTACAATTACTGTTCTGAATGCATATATATATATATATATCCCAATTTGGATGATAAATTATATAATGACACCTTCACAAAACTGAAAATAGAATTACTGTTTGATCCAGCTATACCACTTGGTGTATACCCAAAGGAATTAAAGTCAACATACCACAGGGATACCTGCTTACTCAGGTTTATTGTGACACAACATATAATAGCCAAGATATGGAACCAGCTTAGGTGCCCATCAACAGATGAATAATTAAAATGTGGGGTGTGTGTGTAAGTACTATGTATAATGGAGTATTATTTAGTCATAAAAAGAGTGAAATTTTGCCATTTGCAGAAAAATGGATGGATCATGCTGAGCAAAATAAGCCAGACTCAGACAAATATTGCATATTCTCTCTAATATGTGGAATCTGAAAAATATGACAAGGAAGTAGAAGGGACACTCTTACTAGATAAGAGGAAAGGAAGAAAGAGGAAGAAGAGGGGACATAAGGGTGGATAATAGAGGGTATGATTATAATCAAAATACATTATACACATTGAAGCCCCCCCAAAACGTGAAGCTGGAGGGTGGGGAAGAAATAAATTAAAGCATGTTATGAGCAAATACAATTCTGCAAAAATGAAGCCCATTAATCTGTATAAGCAATATGCACTAATAAAAATGTGGAAAAAATGAAGCCTACAAGTATATTATATATGCTTAAATATTAGCACTAGTTATCTAGGGAGAAATTATCATATAAAGCAGTTTATACTTTCACGCTTATCTGTGTATTTAAGTTTTCTGTTCTAAATATGTATGGTTTAATAATGAGAAATATATTTATTTTCATATTTAAAATTATGTAGTGACCTAGTAAAGAATAATCCAAAATTGAAATTGGAATCTCTTTGGAAAGTAGTGCCAAAAAATTAATGATTAAAATTCTGGAGGGGTACAGCCTACAAGGTTCTCAGAGGAAATGCAACCTTTAATGCATACACTAGAAAATAAAGAAGGTTAAAAATAAGCTAACCCTGCAACTCAAGAATGTAAAAAAGAGAAATGAGAAGTAAGAAAGGAATAAAAGCAGAAGTTAGGAACTAGAATATAAAAAGATTTGACCAACAAAATAAAAAGTTGATTTGTTTGTTTATTTGTTTGCAGAACCAGGGATCGAACTGAGGACCTTGTGCTTGAGAGGCAGGCTCTGGCACCACTGAGCTAAACCTCCTGCCCAAAAAGTTGATTTTTAGAGGAAAAAAATGAATAAAAACATTGACTAATCTCTGGCCTATCAGTCAAGATACAGAAAGTAAGCATTTCACAAGAAAAGAGAAATAATTAAGTATTGGATAATTTTTAAAATGTAGATGAAATAGAAAATTGTTCAGAAAAAAAGTATTACTAAACTTAAGAATGGGAAGATAATTGGATTTGCAGAAGAAATTGAAAGGGTGGCCAGATGTTTTCCCCTAAGTGAAATACTTCCTCAGGTGATTTTGTGAGTGAGCTCTAACAGACTGGAACCAAGAATTCCTATGAAATACAAAAGATTCCAGAGCATGGAAAATGAGCAATTTCACAATTCACTCTATGATGTTAAAACAAGATACTGCTGTTTGCACTGAAAAGGGAATGAAGGGCCAGTCCAATGATGACCACAGGTAAAGAAAAAAAATCTGAA